CAGTTTCATAAAGTCGAAGTAATATAAATCATTGTTTATATGTATATTTTTTATTCATTGCTACTTTTAAACAAGCATAACTAAAACTTGAGCATTTATGAATATCTCATACAAGCGCCAATATTGCCAAAATTATTTCAAATTTAAGAAAATTATGATTCTTACGAAAGTTAGAAATTGGCCATGTTATAAGAAAAATTACTATATAAACTCTATTAAGTTTCTAACCCGATTTTGTATGTAATTTTATAATAAACTTCGTTAACATTTAAATGAAGTATGCCCCTTAACGAAAAGATTTACATGCATTATGAAACTTATATTAATTATAGTCCAATTTATGACTATGGAAAACTGTTTTATTTCATGCCAAATATACTCAGTTTTATAAACTTCTTTCACTTTTGATCTTAAGATTTTGTTTTAATATTTAAAGTTTAAATGTATTTAATGCGACTCTTTTACACGTGCTTTGTCAAAATCTTTTATAACAAAGAGACGGGAAGAATCCGCAAGGCAAACAAAAATAGAAGAAAAGAAAACGAAGGGCAAAGTATGAAAGGAATAAATAGGTAATTTAAATTTTTCCATAAACAAAATTTTGTTATTTATGAAGTCTTATCAAATATGACAGGCCACTAAGGAAATTATTCTAGTTCCCCTAAAAATTTAAATGCTCCATCATTCCAGGCTAAATCAAAACAACTTTAAATGTACTAATTTTAAAAGGTATGTTCGTCAAAAGCTACTTAGATTGAGCGTTATAACAGTTTTGTCTGTGATTTCGAACATTTGTGTCTTCCAAATGTATATCAGGATATATTGGAATAGTTCCCTCTGTGACATACTTGTCTGGTTGTTCATTTGATTGTTCTTCTTGCAACCATTTCCATCAGAATTTTCCCAGAAACCACTAAAATTACCAAACATTATTAAAGTGGTCAAAAACAGAAATTTACTGATTTGTTTAGGTAATTTTAATTTCGGAGCATTTAATATTTGAGATGTCAATTTACCATTTAGTTCTTGTGTGGATCACACGCTTAGTATCTTTATGCAATACTTTATGCATTAATTGCTGATGAAAATTGGTTTAAAATGATTAAAACATAGCACACTTGTGCAATGATTCTTTAAACTATCTATTGCAAAATGACTTGTGACAGCTCTTTGATATAACATTTGATGAGGCAAATAGGTGTCGATATATTTATATAGAGGTAACTTATACAGTTTAAAATCGGTTTATTGTATTTCTACACATTTTTACAATATACTTTATGTAGAAAAGATTAACAAACTAAAATATTTTCCTTACATACTTTCCTACTCCAGCATATAATCACAATCACCCACATATTTTTATTCAGCTTAATATTTGACATATAACTGTATATGTATCAACTTTGTGTTATTTCACAGTCTGTCCACACAACTTTGAAGAAACAAGTTATATTATACAATGATTTATAATGCTCATTTTATGTTTTAGGTCATAATATTTTAGAAGTTCACGTAGCTGGAGTTTCTTGGAATAAAATTACTCAAATCTTCCTAAATATCGAGGTTTTTTTCTGTAATCACAGTCAGTCAGATTGGATAATGTTTCTGCTTTATGCATGCAGATATCCTATAATATACACACACATTTTTACTTGTGGTGTTATCTTAATTTTATGTAATATTTTATTATTGTTTTTATTGAAGTGTATTCTATTTCGGTTTTAATAATTTTATTTGAAACTTGCCTTGCGTAACATTTGTTATACGTAGGATACTGATATCACATTTGTACACGTTTTTTAATGCTAATCTATTAATTAGCTCATGCAAAAATGTATAGCAAATTAATATCTTCCACAAGTGTCATAACATGAGGGTCACGTGGTGTAATATAAGGTTTGAAATGGAACTTATATTTCATGTTCTTTTATACTTTCTTGACATTGTATTATATGTTGATAGTGTAGATATCAAGGAGGTTACAGCCAGATATGTCTTCATAATATTTCTTTAATCTTCAATGTAACGAGGGTTCTTCTTAATATTTTTGCAAACATATAAATTCTGCAAATTTGTTGATCTGAATTATTTATTCTTAACTTGTTTAAATGTTGAACAATGGCTGCAGTTTCTCAGTGCAAATTGGTACTACTACTGTTTCAGAACTTTTTAGTTGGATATCTTAAATGTGTCTTTTTGACGGAATTCTGGTAGCCATGTTTTGTTTCAGGAAGAGCATATTTAAATGTCATTTTTGGGCTATAATACGTTTGAATATTTCTGTAATGATCAAACGCTGACGTTTTTTTTACCTATTTAGATGCCTTAGTAATCACAAGAGAGAGCTATTTTTACAAGCAAAAGTTTGCCTTGTCTTACTTATTTCTATATTTTAACAATAAAAAAAATTACCTTTGCCACTTATTTATATCTTCCTGCAATCAAAATGTGGCCTTTATTACCTGTTTCCACCTTTTCTGATATAAAAGCTAAATCTTTGGTTACCATTTTGCATCCTTTTCTTCAAAAGTTGGTCTTTTGTTACCTGTTTGTATCTTTTTTTTTAGCTGTTTGCATCCTTTGAACACAAATACTTGACTTGTTTTACCTGTACATGTCTGCTATTTCCCAAAAGGTTACCCTTTGATATCCGATTGCATGTTTTAATATGAGGAAGTTAATTTTTACCCGCATTTACTTTTGTTAGCTACTTTCACTTTATAGAGTGCAGCAAATTTTTTTCTCAAATTCTAATAATGTTTAAATTATGGTCTTTTTTACCTTTTATGACTGAAAAATTTACATTTTGAACACTTTTTATTGCAGACAAAAGTGAGTCATTTGACAATTTTAGGCGCCAAAGAGTATACGAAAACATAATTTTTTAGACCTTTTATATTTTCAGGAAATATGTATAAAACTCGACAAAATAAACACAAAAGTTTGCTTTCTCATCAAATTTTCTTGACATTGAAAGGTATTTTTTCATGCAGTGATTTTGCATAAATGCCTAAACCAACTTTTTAAGACAACATAGCCAATAAGGCTATTATACGAGGCGTAAGCAGAAAAATGTGCCTTCTTATGAAAGGATATGAAGAAGTGGAACTCATATAGCAGTAAGGATACTCTTTGTGTGATAATTAATGTTTCATTTCAAGCTTCACATGAAAGAAAATGAAATTATAAACATTAGGAGTAGATGTATGAGATCAAGCCCAAAATATCCCGTCATTTAAAGCTTCTGTTTAATGTCTGAGGTCATTTGGGAAAAAGTGCATGCTCTTAATGTAACCTAATAAAATGATAACAAACTAAAAAAAATCACTTCTAACAAAACTTTAACAACAGCAACAACGTCATAGATCAGAAAAAAATCTTTTAGGTTTAAACTATACAGTGGGACGTACCAACACAATAAATGCAGGAAAAAAACTAGATTCGGGAACTTTTTCAATTATCTGTTAGGATTCGCGATACGTCTGCCACGGAGAAGAAAGATATAACAGAAAAATAATCTGGAAATATAAAGCGATATCGCAGTCTTAATGTTACTTGCTTTTGCTCTCATTTTACAAGTTTAAATAACGTTGTTTCCATTGTGGTAAACTTTTTATCTCGTCAGTGTGATTTTGTCAACAAATTTGAATAGTTTAAACATAATCTTATGTGTTGTTGTACTTGAATAAAGTAATCTATATACGACCGCATATTTGTTTAAACTCTGTATTAATTATTCAGATTTTATCTATTTTTTTGTCAGTATACATATTCGAGGTTTTAGTTTTACATTATGTAAATAATCCGTTGTTAAACTAGAGTCAACAAGAATTAAAATATACAGTAATGTTTTAAAACCGCTAAGAACTGAACCTATACAGCAAATAACTTTACAACGTCAAAAACGTTCTAATAAAAACAAACTTCGAGCTGAAATTATTTTATAAATGAATAAAACACTTTGAAAAGTAAAACATATTGAAACTTGTGAAATTTCGATGTTATTATGTTTTATTTGCTTAATCAAGTTCAGCTATTTTTAAAGAAATATTATTCACCGTCGATATTTGAATTTGGTTTTGAACATGGCTCAAAAAAATTTGAAATAACTCTACGATGCTTTTAAGTTACTTTGTTACAATGATAAACAATTAAAAGTAGAAAACAACCACAAATGCAATGGAGGTGAAGGTTCTCAACAGATCAATAATGTAAGAATATATAACTTTAAACCGTGCTCCTCCACGGCGAATCATTTATAATCTTGTATGCTTATGACACTAAATATTGGAGTTCGATACCCACGGTGGACAAAGCACAGATAGCCAATGGTATATATATTCGCGATTAAACACAAGTAAGTAAACATATATATTTGCGATTAAACACAAGTAAGTAAACATATATATTTGCGATTAAACACAAGTAAGTAAACATATATATTCGCGATTAAACACAAGTAAATAAACAAATTCTTAATTGTAGATTGTTCACATATGGTTAAAATATATATCAGGATCTAAAAAGAGAAGCATTCAGAAAATAAAATGAAAAATTTATAATATTAAAAAAAAATGTTTTTCAACTAATTTATGATTTTGCGATTTTTCTTTACCGTAAGATTTGTAAAAAATATGTTATGCCCACCACAACAGTTAATGCAAGTTTATTTCGGGCAAACCATCTTAAAGTTTTTAACGCTTATATCCGGGCCTACTGATGGAAATGGAAGATTTTCTTGAAAGTTAAAGGAGATGAAAGTACATTAATCAATCTAGGAGAAAAGAAATAAATTTACGGAAATAACACACGTGACGGCTTTGATTCATTATCTTCGAACCTGTTTGTACATGAAGAGGGTATTCTTGTACAAATCGATATAGATTATATTTCATTAAAATATGCCGAGGTACATAATGAGATTGTATATTTCTTTTCATTTGAGAAGAAATATGTATTAAATGTATAGCTAACAGCAGTTACGAATTTCTTCTTACTTTATTTGCTATTGAACTTGTCTTAAGTAGGTCAGGGCAGTCGTATCTTTCTTCCAGCGGAACACCATCTTTTAGTCTACGGATCTCTTCGTCTCCTTAAAAAAAAAAGAATATTGGATTTTTACAGCAGATAAAACATTTTTCTATTTATTTCGTTGCTTTCAATAACATATTTTTCTTATTTCCTTTGGATTTTATAGACAAAAATAACAGTCATGGAATGTATACGGATACTCAGAGATCACTTGCAACTCAGATACTAACAGATAAATTCATCTCTTAAGGTTAACCATAATAGTAATCAATACAGATCTTAAAGCAATATGAATAATCATGTGTTTACATAATATATATGTACATTCTTCCTTATATTCTATATCAGAAAATATTATCAAGCAAATAGTAAATAGGCTTTACTCTACGAGTAGAGAAGAATGTATTATAGAAATGATTATCAAATACTTAGGGAAAAGGAAGAAAGAAATACGTTGACTATAAAAGGAAAGTGAAGCGCGCGTATTTTTAATACAAAAGATATCTTTATATACCATTAAATTTGACACAACGCTTCTTTACAAAAGAATAATAAACGTGCTGCCTTTATTCAAGTCTTTTGCTTTCACAAATAAATTGTTACCATTGATATAAATAAATAAATATATAGAACGTAATATAATTTACAGTTGTAAAGTGATTTCAATTGGTGCGATGCTACACAATATCAATGGTAGTCGTTTAAGAAATGATACACTTTATAACGGAATGCTTAGACAAATGCCGTTTTATATGCAGTATTTTAGGGTGATAAAAACATCAGAGCAGGTATATTTAATATGAAAATCAAATCGAAGCGTATATAAGTAAATAAGTCCATGAAGTTATCTCTGTGCCATTTCAAAAACAACTGTTGGTGTCTAATATAAATTTCTCTAAAACCACATATCTATATAGACGAACTAAGCCTAACTCACATCTTCAAAAATACATTTGTATTTTATATTTATATACCAATGAAATTTTCTGTTTGAAATAACATAATGTCTAACGATATTATATAGTACTAACCCCATGTTTCTAGCTGGGATGAACAAGAACCGGATCTTGTTGGCCTGTTAAGTTCTCGACGTTTCCAAAACTCTTCACGTTCAGTCATCTGGCAAATATAGATAATAACTGACATAATAACTTCAGTGAAAAATTCAGCTTTGTAGTTGAAAAACAACTAGATGTTTAAACGGCTAGCATCAAACTATACACGGAAACAATGAAAAAATAATAATTTTCTTACCTTTTATTTGTTTTTTATTTGTACAATTTATTTGTTCAAACATTTTGCATCCATATAGCAGATAAATGATCTGGAATCAAATGTGTCTCTTCCAATTCTTATCGACAGAGGCAGTATTCTTGAAAATAATTTTGTTTATATCAAGAATGTCTACAGAAGATAAGAGCTATGCTAGGTTTCAAAGAACAAAATCACTCTTTATTGCTGTATACTGTATATAAAAAATTTTTGTTCAATGTCTTGGACGATATGCTGATTTTTTAACATAGTTCTTTTAGAAGTTTAACATTAAACAAAATGAATAAATGTTCCATGAATTTTCTAGGTCTTAATATAGGTCTTACAAATCGTCCAAATATACCCAAAAACTGTACTACTACTACATATATACTGAGATTCCTTTTTGTACACTATGATTTTCAGAAGTTTTGTCTAGGTGAGTGGTTTATATACATAAAAATAAAATAACTACTAACAGTATTATACTTTACAATAATGTCTTCAATATTTTTACTGTTGTTAGGACGGTAGGAAAAAAATATTAAGTAAGATTTAACTGTTGTATAAGTTGTTTTAACAGTGATGATTTACTGTTATTTTAATTGTTTCAGAAACCAGGATCAAACATTTTTCAAAATTGGCAAACCGAAACTACCCTGTTGGAGGGCTTGATTGGTATCAAAATCTTCTCATCTTTTTATTAAAATGACTTTTCAAGATTAACTTGTTAGAAACTTACCTCTCGAAACTAAATATGTATTGCCTGTTACAGCATATTACATTTTTGATAACTATGTATTTATATTTATAAGTATTCTGCTTTCTTTATTTGCCATTTTTATGTTTTTCTAGGTTAATACCACTAAAGAAATAATTATTTTGAACACAGTATTTCTTGTTATATATGTTTTATTTAAGTAAAAACAAGTATTCATGATGTCATGTGAAATATGCAGTACATTCATGTTATAAACTTAATGTTCATTTCCCTCTCTTTTTCCCTCTGACAATAACTCAGCTACTTATTCACATCTGGCGATTTTCTTATTTATTCAATACATCCTCCAATAACTGCACGATAATCACATATGTCATTCATCCTGTCTTGGAGCACTTGAGTTTACCAGTTCGGATAGCTTTAATTCTGCACATTGCAACCGCAACTCTTTAATACCATTTTGTTAAGAGAAAAATACATGCGTAATCTAAAAAGAAGGTAACATATTTGATCCATCTTTGTGTTTTTATACCATTGCCACTTATTGAATAAAACTATTTAATGTAATAATTTAAATGTAGTTTCATTTTCAAGAGTATAATGTAACATCAAAGTATCATCAGCTATCATTTAAAGATGCATTGTACGAAGTTAAAGATAAATATCTGCTTTTGTTGGACGTGTTTTTTACTTCTTCTTCAACTTTATTTTCCAGCTTTTGCGAAAATACCTAATTTATCATTCAACACATGCTCTTTCGTGTAAATGAAAACTGAAATAAATATTTATGTAACATGTTTATTCTTCACACAGACGCAAATATGTTTAAAGTTTTCACACAGTAATCATAGGTAGAACAAATGTGATATATTTAACTATATATATATCTGGCATTTGTAAAGTTTCAAGAAACATATTACCACTGAAAAAAAAGGTTTTTTCTTCACCAAATATTAATATTTAAATTTATTTACAGCTTGCAGTGGATCGTTGGAAATTTTCGTATGTTAGAATACGTACAATGTGTTTCGACCACAAGCGCGATCATTTTCAAGTACAACACGGTGTTGGATGATGTATAATCATAATTCTTATCATCGAAGTTATATATGGACGTCTACTGCACCATCATGTAATATTGAACATGGAATCAACTAGGTCGATACAACATTATTTTTATTCTTATTCGTAGTTTCTGTTCATATTTTTGTAACACTAATTTTTGCGTTTACTGTGTTTCTACCGTAGTCATTGATCTTATGATACAATATTAATGTGTAATATTTATTTGTATTTTTTCTTTTACAAAATCATTAGAATCAACAGGAAGTAAATAATTTCATATTACTGAGAGTTTGACTTGGATAAGTATTTCTCAAATTACTCTTTACAAGTATGTAATAATTCGGAAACCCATTACTTATTTGGGTAATCATACATCCATGTATAATTCTACCTATATTTAGACTAGCACTTCTAATCTTAAAAGTTTAAGGCTGCTTATAGGAGATAAAGTTGAATAAGCACACAGCTTTTTATAAGACAGTTTTGCATACAATAATATCTTGGCTGCACTTTTAAGTTTTGGACATTCATACTGTAATAAACAAAAACGTTTACGTTATACCTTTGGCACATTGATTCCTAGATCATTATCAAATCTTTGATTTTACTGCAGAAACTGAATCACATACAGGCCATTTATACATACTCAAGTGAATATATTTGAAAAATACCAGTATATGATTATTATTATTTTTAATTCAGCTCATGGTATGTTCTCCAACATCTCAAACAATTAATAAAAGTTTGTTTGTTTTTGAATTTCGCGCAAAGCTACACTAGGGCTATCTGCGCAAGCCGTCCCTAATTTAGAAGTGTAAGACTAGAGGGAAGGCAGCTAGTCATCACCACCCACCGCCAACTCTTGGGCTACTCTTTTACCAACGAATAATGGGATTGACCGTTACATTATAACGCCCCCACGGCTGAAAGGGCGAGCATGTTTGGTGTGATGGGGATTCGAACCCGCGACCCACAGATTGCAAGTCGGGTGCCTTAACCACCTGGCCATGCCGGGCATTAATAAAAGAACGAATCATCTTCTTCTTATTTCAAGCATAGTCTTGTTGGTTCAAACTATTGTGGGATTCGAACCCGTCACTCGCAGATTGCGAGTCGAGCCCCCTTACTACCTGGCCATATTAGTATTACTTACTTAACTAGACTTATAGTTTATAAAACCAAAAATAAAACATGTTTCTGTTTTTCTTATTTACTTAGGACTTGTGCAGAGAATAACAATAACAGAATTAAATGCACTCGTTTCTGATACATACTCTATTAAAGGGAAACAAATGCATCATAGAACATTAAACAAATAATAGATTAAAATCCTTATACTGAACCACATGTTTGATATTGGCTTTTGATGAATTATTACTGAGACACAAGTATTAGTTGCATTACAGTAAAACAAAATACTAGAATTGAACCAACCTGAATATCTTGACCGTTACCTTCTTCTCTCGAAACTCCTTCTGCTGTTCTTCCACTTACAAAAAATGGTTGACCATCCACATGATTAAACATCTTTAAATATTCCTCACTTTGGACAAGCTGGTAGATTCTAAGGGCCGCTAAAGTGCATCGAATACAGATGAATTTCTGAAACTTTGGCTTATTGTTTTAGTCTTGTAATCACTCAAAACATTCGTATTACTAATAGGCATATTAGTGAACAATTAGAAGTCTAAAAAATAAGCAAACAAAATATTTGATTTTTTTGTGTGTTTTAAAACGCTATAGGAATTCCACTTCTTTAAGAGGTACAAAGGCTTGTATATCGAAATACTTTACCTAATAGGGGAAAACTGTTTTAGCTTTGAACAAGCAACTAAAAAAGGAATATATCATTTTCATGGTGTTGACACAGCTTAAAATAAATTTGAAAACTGTATAAAAGTACAATCAAAATATTATGTTTGTATTAAATGTAATTCCTTTCTAGTGAATGCAAGTTCCACATTCTTAAGTCAAGAAATCATTCACGAAATGACACTTAATTAATATATCTTTACTTAAAATCACTTACAAGTAATCATAACCAAAAACGATATGTTCTATGGGACTTAGGGCAGAACCTCTTGCTGTCCAGTTCATTAAATTGTAATTTCTTGTTTAAGGAAGCCCACCACGTCCAAGAAGTATAATACTAGTCATTGTCCTGCATCAGAACAAAAACTGTTCTGATGGTACTCGCTTAAGTTTATCCAAGCTTTAAGTTTATTCCAACATTATGTTAATATCTTTTGAAACAGTAAATCCGAATCTCGGAGGCAAAAATAAGGTCATTAAGACCGTTCATATTAGTGTTTTCCACCCATATTTCAACTGCTACCGAACTTTCTATTTTCAAATATGTTGCAATACGTATGTCGTTTACATCTGTCTCTTGAAGATATGAAACATTGCTGTGAAAAATGCAGGAACTGCTGCTAATTCTGGTGGTGTGAAGAAAAGTGCAAAACTAGCTGCTTGGTCAAGTGCAGAACTGAAGCAGATTTTGTCGTCCTTAAATTGTGGTCATGAAATCTGTTCCTTACTATCTGCTGTCTAGAAGTCTATATAAGGCAATGGGCAGTAAACTCCAGGAGACTCCACAACAGTTTCAAAAACTATCAACCACCAGCACCGGATTTCACTTTGCCTTCCCTACTTACTTCTTCTCATTAATCGGGCACTGGTAACGAATCAGTCGTTACCAGTGAAAGTGGGTTTTCTCAGGGTACTCCCGTTAACCCCACATTAAATTCTCGGCATAGGATTTTTAGATCCCCGCCGCCCTGATGGACCATCAGTCCGATATCGGCCGTTTAGTTTAGTTTACTTTGCTCTTCACTTTTTATTGTCTACAGTTACTCTCTCTTTACCTTTTTAAAACTACATACCTCGTCTGCATTAATTTCCTATTTTCTCAAGTTAAGCCCACATTCCTAGACCACGAGCTGGGTGAAGGAGGATTGTTTAATCTTCGAGCACTCCAGATTAGTAATTATTTCTTCGGAAATAATTATTTTAAAATCTAAATAACTGCCAGGAAAAACGAAAACTAAACTAAGGATCCCTAATGGCCACATTTTCTAAATTGCGGTCATTACCTGGCGTGGTTGACATAAAGAAACTGGATACATCTTCTACTTCTTTCTGTATCTTATCCGATCATTAACAATTAACTAGCTCTGACCGTATGTACGTCCATTAACAACGTCCGCTCGAATCCAGGAAATAACATTGTTAGATATAGATATTGAAATGATAAACAAATTTAATTCGATCACCAAAATATCAAATCAATAAATAAACATATTTGTCCAGGATAGTTAGCTGTTGTAAAATGCACCGAAACAGGTGTGAAATCTCATCACAGGACACTCAATATGTTTAAGTAGTTATAATCTTTTTGACATTGCTTTCAGATATTAAATCATGCTTCGTTCTTTATCTTTGCATATAGACTAGACTGAATATACTATTTTTCATTTTCTTGTGCTTTTAAAATCGGGAACTTCACAATAATTCAGCATGCCTCATTGAAGATTATCACATTAAATCAAAAGAATCTTTACTGTATTTAAATTAATAGTAAACTGACAGACAACGATTTAGAAGCATAAAAAGTGGTTTTATTTTAAGGAACATACTACATGTTTTAACAGAACATTGGTCTGTCGAAACATGCATGCTCCCCAAACATAAAACTGTTTTCTGTCAGTTTACTATTATATTAGCATAATGTGCTTCCATACGTCTAAATTATCATAACATGTCACAAATTAATAGACTCAGCTGTAAGTCTGAGGGTTTATAACGCTAAAAATCGTGTTTCGATACTCTCGGTGGGCACAGCACAGATAGCCAACTTTTGAGCTTTGCCCTTAACGCGAAACAAACACAAACAACTGAGAGATACTTTTTACTGTTTAATTGAAAATAACAGTCACCTGGTGTCGTTGTTTGTGAATAAGTATTTGACACTTATGTTGTAAATACAAAGATCAAAGCTCACGTTCTTGCAGAAGCCTGTTTTAAGAATTAATTGGAATTCGAGTTTTGAAACTAAACAGCATGTTATGTGTACGTGAGCTAAACAGCGAGGTTCAGGGGCAATCATTCCTAATTTGTAATTACGGACTAGAGGTAGGCAGCCACTCCGCAGCAACCGCCGCCACAAAATCTTTGAACCATACAATTCGACGAACTGTTACTTTTATAACGCCCTTATGGTTGAAATTTGCGAACCTAATCAACAAACTTAATTCGCAGCCCAACCCCTAACCAATAAGCCCGATTTGTTTTAAGAAAGAAAGTGTCATGAATGTCTAATGTGAATTATGATAATGTAGAATACTTTGATTGACAATATATATATATAATTAAAATGGAATCTGTAAGTAGTATATGTCTTAGTTGGGCTTCTTATATAAAGATTTAAAAGTATTTACACTAGAACTTGAAGTATTTGTTATATGGTTTTGTGGAATGTGTTTTCAGTGGTTAAGGATAACATTTCTTTGAATTAGAATATATATAGAGAAGACGGGACTTTTCGTTACTTTTTTTTACTTTATGTCGTACAGAAAATCATTAATAAACAATGTCTATATATTTTTTCAACTTGCATTTTTAAAAGATGGTAAAAACATTTCCTAAGGTGGGAGGCAAGAAATCCGTATGCTCCCTTTAAATATTTGTCATAGCCGAGCTTAATATACTGCATATGCTAGCATTAAAAATAAATACAATTTGTAAATGCAACGTACGGGGGACAATGTTTCCCAATAGGCTAAATTCAGGAAACACCTCAGTCACGTACACACGTGTGCTAAAGTAAAGACATGCTTTTAACTTATAAGAAACGTCACATTAAAAATGCTTAAAAGTAAATTTATATAGTGGCTGGTGAGTTATGAGCATGAACTCTAGTACACTCAACGTCAATCAAAGTCAAAATTTAGCTTCTTTTTAAATGAAAGTTTTCCAACAAAAATTTGAATGGGTGAAAGAAAGTATTAGAATATTTTTTTTACTTTAAACCTACAAAACCTTGATTCAATCTTTTTCGATTTTGAAGGTAACAACTGGGCTATGAATTAATATTAGAACATAAACTACGCCTTCCGTGAAAATGTATTGTAACAGGGAACGTACAATATTTTATACAAAATGTCAATCATGAAATTTATGCTCGCATTAGAATTATTTGTGCCATTTCTATATCTTTAATTCACATAATTACAAAATAATAATTATAAAAATAGCGTGTAGTTTATGAACTTATGCTGATACTTAATGAAACTAGTAATATGTTATAAGTTGTATAGAATTCAAGTTAATGTAAGAAACAGTATACTGTAATAAAGAAAATACAAAAATGAATGTAGTCAGGTAGTCATTAGGGCTTATAACGTTAAAAGATTGGTTTCGATACCCACGCATTTGTGATATACAAGATTTTGTATGCAAATTTTTACGATCTTTATAATTTATCTCATTTTGAAAGCGAAATTTAAACAGAACAATTCATTCTCAGAAACACATACAAAATGACGGCAAGTTTCCAAAAAGACACTTCATAAGGAAGCGTGAAATTCTGTTGTCAACTTAACTGGGTTGCTGACTTTAAATTTTAATCTTCGTTTTTACTTTACCAAGGAAATTATTAAACGTAGCATTTGTACTTTATATAAATCAAAACATGGGTGGATACATCTTGCAGTGAACAAACTTTAATTACTGACGTTAATAATTGAAAATTATTGACATACTTTACTCAGTAAATTTTACTAGCATCACAGACAATAAATTTTACCAAAATTATTTATATATGAATTATGTATCTTCCAAAAAATATAGAAACGTATGAAACATTTTCTGTACCTTCTGCTTCTCTTCGTAATTGATGTCTTCTGCGTAGACAACAAGCAACAATAAAGGCGATTAAGACAAATACCACTGCTCCACAGACAGCAATGGATGTCCAAACTAACCGTGAGATCATCGCTTCCTTGCTTTCCGGATCGTTGATTGCCTTAGTGGACTCCAATGATGGAACAGCTATATCATAGATAACACTCCTTTTAAGCCAAAACCTAATTCTCAAATACTCTACAAAACTCGTTAGAATATTCTATTACAAAGCTAATGAAACATATAGATATATCTCTTTGTATATCATCTGCATTCACATAGGACATTCTCATTTCAGCGTTCTCTTGTATTCAGTTTTGTAGAAAACAAAAGCAAATGAATAACTGTGCAGTATGAAACTATTTAGGCTTATTATAATGGTTTATAGTTATAGAATTTCTAATGAAAGTGTGTTGTATAAGACTTGCATAAACCTAACGCAAATTTCTGCCTCTGAAAACATATTTAACTGCATAAACAATTTAATGAAAATGTTGTTGTAAATCATGATATGAGTTTCATATGTTGATATATTTATAGTGCTTATACTTCGCATTGATATCCAACGTATACCTTGCAAGATATTTTCAAATAATTTCATAACGGAATTGCCTTTGCCAACACTAAAATGATAACATACCAAACACATAAGTGGAACATAAATCGATTACTAGTAGACAAAGCAATTACGATAGCGATAGCTCGAAGCTATGCAAAACCTGTTCTTTTTCAGTTAATTTTACCTATGAAATGTATAGTGAGATTCACAGAATAATGTATGTGATTTAAAAAATAGATTTCTCTTCCCAGTCTGTAGTCCTCCTATATATATACTATACATATAGTACGTTTTATTTCTTTGTTTTGTTTTGTAAAGATCAAGCTTGAAACACAATATTACAAGTATTTTTTGTGAGATTTACTTTCTTAGGATATCTATTAGCAAAATTTGCAGCAACAACTCTAACCCAGTTACGAATAATGAGGCATCGATGGAGTTGTTTTCCTCAAGAAATACGTGATTTAGTTTGTCTTAAAATGAACTTTTAAACTAATGAACATATTGATTTTGATAGAACATTCATTAGATATGGCTGTCTTTTAGTAGCATGTATGTTGACTTTCTCTGTTGAATTATTATTTTTTAGCACAAATTTACACAATAGGCTACTTTAGTTGTACCCACAGGGGCTATCAACCTATGAGTTGTAGCTTTATAAGCCCACGGGTTTGTCGCTTAGCCACCATAGGATGGGATACATGTGTTGCAATTTTAAGAATGAGCTGTGTAATGAATATGTATTTTGTTTGTTTGTTTTAGAGCGAAGCCACATTAGGCTATCTGCTATGTCCACCAACCCCACTAAACGCGTGTAAAATTTTACCAGTAGAAAAGCAGCCTTTTCATATAAAGCATATACGTATAAAACATCTCTTTAAATATACCATCTTGTCTTTTAAAGCAATTATTCTACGAATATGTGCTATAAACTTTAATATTATGTTCACTCATAATATAAGGGTTGGTTCCCTAAACACACCGATAGTACAGTGTACAAAGTATTGAGTATCTACTTGTTACTTCATCTGGTAAATCCTGTTTCACCCTGTATTTAATCTTTTTAAAGGAACAGCATATATCAGTAAGAAATCTAACTTCAAGAGGTAATGATAACATCGTTTACACTAAAATTATTATGTGTTTTAGCTTATGAAAAATATGGAAGAAACAAATCAACTTTTCAATACCTCTAAGACTTTTCCAGTACCTTATTTAGAATTCTACAACGGGTTTGGGTGCAATATACCAAGTCGTTTTTGTTGTAGGATGGCAATAGAATAATAATAATCATAAGAAGTATTTCAAACGGACCGTTTTGAGCAGATTTTTTTCTCCTTGTAACATGCATGCATTTTTGTGCATTTGTGCATGTGTACAGCCTTAACAGTCAATACTAAAGGTTTTAAATGTATTGTTTGAACTGAATCTTTACTGTTTAAGGTGCTTCTTGCCCGAACTTTCTATTAGGGTTTTGTTCAATTCCTTGTGACCCTAATACGAAACACTATCGTGGTTCATGATTTGTGTTTTGAATTTGTTCATGATACTTTATTGTGAACTCCTATAATTCAAATTAATTTCTCTAATATAAACAGTATTTCGACAAATAAAATAGTTACGTGTAAACATGAAAAAAAAACACACTTATGAAAGAAATAAAATATTTTAGAAAGGAATAATCAACTTAGTTCTGTGGTATATAACGCCGAAGCTGGCGTATTATGAACTCATCATAGGATAAGAATTATTATAAATTAATATAATAAAATAAATAATTAATTTTGTTACATTAACGTTAACGTTAAGTAGATGACCGGAATTTCAGTAATAACCGCTAATTCTAAAAATTCTGAAAAACTCAACAGTCTACTGAAATTACTTTTATTTTCCGTTTTTATGTATAGTAGCATAAAATGCCTGTTCTCCACTGCGGGGCTCGTAGGACCCCTCATGATTCATAAAGACCCCAGTGAACCAATCGAATTACTCTATTATCTTTACTTACTTCTATAGCTACTACAAGGGTGGTCCGTACCCGAAAAACATAGTGAGTGAGGGTATGAGCACAGTTTCAAACATGGCGCTCTCGGAATCCCAACGGAGGCCAGGAACATAAAATCCTTCTTCTTTTAAACACAAACTACATAACGGCTTTTAGCGGTTGAGCTCTCAGACATACCGCTGAGCCATTGGGGGGGAGGGGCATAAAATTCGAGGACAGATTCTAGCTCAGCGACCCTGAAAACCTACTCTTAGACCTACATCATTCCTAAGTGAGCTTCCTGAGGCATTTTAGTCCATCTTGGTGCTTCCCCCTTAAATGGGGGCTACACCATATAGAAGATGAAATTTCCGGGGCCACTCCAAGTCTGTCTGCTAAGTTTGTTCCTTCTACCTCCAAAACTATCGGGTATTTTAGCCGGATATACATACACTATTATAAGGCTGCAAGTTAAATTAATACAGGATTAGAAAAAACAAAAACATTTTTACCTTTGATCGCTTCTTAATGATACACTCATGAAGTATCTTACTTAGAAATCTATAATTACCATAAAAAACTTCATTATAACGCAAACCTCCTAACAAATATTTTATGTATGATCTGCATGAGAAGACTTTGAGTAAAAACGCTTATTAAGAATCCCTTGATATCACATTAATCATGCCTTTTATTCTATAAATGTCATAGTCTCATTGAAGGAATTACACGGATTACTTATAACATAACTTAGTATAAAAATTATTTTAAAACAATATCTTATTATATTTTATTTCATAAAGCTTGTACTAATACACACGCTTGATTAAAGTAAAAAATGCGAAGATTGGAAGTGTTAGGAATCACAGTGATCATATCCATTTTAAAACAGAATATAGTAATTTTTATCAAAGACGACAGAAAAAGCACTTCTCATATATGCACGTCATTTTTGTAGATTTCAAAATTTTCCACCTAACAGTTATTTGTAGTCTTAATATTTCAACTATCTAGAACTGTTTTTAAAATTTGCAAGAGAACGTGACCTTTGGCCTACAGGTTGGTAGTATTCATCGTAATAAAGGTATAAAAGCCACTGTCTTCCTCTTCCTTTAAATTATAAGAAAACATTAACGGAATGAACTTAACGCAATATTTGTGTAACATAAGCAAGTACATGTGAATATATATTAGTATATAAAAGTGTATTAATATATTTCCAATTTTACTTACCTTTTGTTCTCAGAACTAGCTCTTTATTTGGTTGACTGAAACCTAATTGATTTTTAGCAACTACTTGAAAAGTGTATTTGGTTTCGGGTTTGAGATCTTTGAAATTGTAAACGGAAGAAGATATGTTCCGGATAACATTAGAACTTCCATCGCCTTCTTTCTTCCAATAAATGTCGTGCAATTGGGCAAATCCACCATCGAAACCTGATTTCCAAGAAACACAAGCTGAGATGTGAGTAATGTTACACGCACGTAGTTCAGAGGGAGGATCCGGCGTGCCTTTCGAAGAAAAAAGGTTTGTATATATATCTTTAAACAACATAAAATAGACATTTTCGTTATATTTCTTATCATACATAACCATATTTACTAAAATATCATCAATCATTAAATATTTTTCATGAAATATTTTGTTTTAGATTTTTAGAACTACTTATTATATCCAGATTGTCGTAATCAGTTTGCACATTTTCTAATTTGAACCTCTTAACTAATGACTACTACATTAAATGAACTAAGCTAATATGGCAGTTTTATATAAATGTACGCAATATTATTCAAAAATTAAAAGAAAAGTCTAATGAGAACGACATATCAGCTTTTTCAAGTGAACTTGCTTTTGCGTGAAGTGAAATCTCGCAGTTCTGAGAGTTAACATTTTAATCACAAATCAATAGAACAAGTAAAAAGTATGACAAATTTACTTGACTTCACAAGTTGTAAGTCTAATGCGGCTTTCCCAAGGTTGTTTGAAGCGTCACAAGTGTAAATGCCAAAGTCAGCGGATGTTATGTCATATACGTGGAGAATATTGATCCACTTGAAACCTTCTTTTTGCACAGTTTGCACGGTGTACTTCCAAGCATGAATTTCCAAGCTAATAGGCTTTCCATTAAAAAACCAATCGAATGTGACGTCAGGCATTGCTTCTACTACACATTTCATCACAGCAGTTTTTCCTTGGTCGCTGGCAACCTTCGTTTCCATATTTGATTCTAGAAACACTGGCCTATCTACGAAAGAAATAGAGATTCAAATGAATATGTAAAACGTACAATATTTAAAATCGCATGTTATCAGCTACTGTATATATATAGGTTATTTTCTAATGAACAATATAATAATTATCAGTTTTGAAAAGTACAATTAAATGAAAAAAAAATAAACCACATATTTAAGCTTTTGAAGCTATCAAAACACTTAAACTATAAAATAAAAGTGACTTGAAAAAAATGGTGTTTAAGTTACAGAACATTTCAAAATAAGCACTTATAAAAACACAATAATTCACAAAGTCCGCAAACTCAGAAATTAAAAATTGAATTCTTATATAATTATAAGAAAAGCATGTTTACTAATTTAAGTTATCATGCGTATCGATTTTTTCCACGTTCTTCTATTCTATTATTCGTATTCTATTATTGCAGGTTTGTTTGTATGTTTGTAATTAAGCATAAAGCTACACAATGGGCTATCTGTGCTCTGCCCACCACGGGTATCAAAACCCGGACTCTAGCGTTGTAAGTCCGCGGACATACTGTTGTGCCACTAAGGGGCATTATTACAAGAGTCCAACTTTTAACTTGTAATTGAACAGTACTATGCAAAAAAATAGTGAAAAACTCACGTTATTCTTACTTAAAGCTAGATTTATTCTATCATTACAGGAGTCCAACTTTTAACTTGTAATTGAACAACACAATGCAGAAAAAAAAATGAAAAAGTCTAGTGAGTTTTATAATGACCAGTATTTTGCGTAAATTATGCTTAAACTAATCGTCAATAAAAAAAAATCACAGTTTTATTTAACAAAATTAGAATGAATAATAGAATTAACGAGGCAGGCAGGTCAAGATAATTTAATATCGGGAGCTATGTACTCACACATAACGGAAATTTGCACTCGTTCGACATCGTGTTGGCCAATACCGTTGAAGGCTACACACTCATACTCCCCCGAATTGGTTCTTGTTATCTTATCAATTTCCAAGAGAAATTTTCCTGAACTTAAACTCTTGCTCTCCAAAACAGTGTTCAAACCACGTCTTCTCCACGTTACCGTGTCGTGTGTTATTGGATTGGCATCGATCGAACACTCTAAAATACACTTCTCGCCTTCTTTCAGTACAAGGTTTTGGGTAAGGTTTAAAATCGAAGCTGGATCTACACCAAAATGTTGAAAATAGTCTACTGCTGTTGTTATAATATATATTTAATGTCAAATAGCAACAGGAAAGAATTTGATTTTATTTTACTTGTTAATATTCCATTATCATGATTACTCCCACAATATTATTATTATTGCTGACAGTATTTTCTATATTTCGTAATGATATGATTAAACTACTATTTATAATTATTATTAAGTCTGAAAAAATGCTTTTTTTTCTAAAAATAGCTTAGATAAATGTTATTTATCTATACACATATACGTTAATGTGTTATACAAGAAAACATTTGGTATAAAGTTCAAATTCGATGACGAGGAACCCAAGTTGAGACTAATAATGCTTGGAGATGGTTTGAATGGTGTTGACAAAACTTTGTCGAAACGTTGTACATTTGCTGTTATGTTAAACTTATATTAAATGTTTCTTCATTACCCATTCAAGCCGTCTCCAAGCATTATTGGTATAAAGTTCATGTAATTTTTTTTGTTTTCTCTTTTAGTCAAAATTATCTGATAATTTACCGGGTCAAAATTATAAAGTTTGCTAAAAATAATAAAATATGTCTCAATTCATAAAATTTCTATTGTACCTTTTATTTTTACTTATCATTCCTACTTTGTTACTCCCTTTTTCTTTCTCAATTTATGCCAGAAGATGGCGATATAATAGATTTCAGTGCATATATATATCTTAGGAGATTTTATGCAACAAAAATATTAATTCACAATAATAAATTACAATGAGGCCCTTAACATTGACAAATAACGCATTGAACTAAAACACATATCTTACATAAAACATTCAACTCCAGTGATGCGCTTGATGATCCTTCATCATTCTCTGCTATACAATAGTAGGTTCCACTATCTAATCGACTGGCGTTTTGTATTTTAAGAAATGGCCCCTGCGCAGCAATCCTCTGTCTTGCTTGATGAACAAATTGTGAAGGAGGAGGTGGTGGTATTTTGATGTTGCGAAAAGTCCACGTATATTGAATTGGTTGCGGATTCCCTCGCGCAGACATATTCACAACACGTGTTTGAGTTTCTATGATATCAACGGTTTTTGTTGGGATGAAAAATACTGGCTTATCTAAATTGAAATAAATGTAAGTATCGTTAGCAAATTGATATTAAATTGCTTCTTAGATCATTTTTGTCAACTGTTGAGCAAGTTATTGAGTATTAATTAATTAATAACATAGTTTTAGTTCGTTATTATGAAGTGTAAATCTTATATAGTGACAAATCCAAACAGAAGTTGTTTTTTTCCAACAAACATATAATCCACTATATTTATAATTATCATCCTATGGTTTTTGTTGCTTAATGGCTTGGGTGTCTGATTACTTACATAGCACCGACAGAAGAAATACGTCTCTGATGATACCCCGAGTGACTTTATTAACCACTGAACATGTATAAACAGAGTCATCGTCCTCCGATGTGACAGTCTGCTCTATTCTGCTGACCGTCGAAATTCCTCCGTACATAGCATTTAAAAGTTCTTCCTGGTCACTGTGGATTTTCTGATTGTTCTTGAACCAGGTAACAGTGGCGGGGGGTTGACTACTGTCTGTTATGCACACTAAAGAAATCTGTAGCGGATATCGAAAGAATTGTTAAAATGATATTAAAATTCTGTTACTTTAGATAACTTATGAGCAATTCACAAAAACATTATGCAAACTTGTACGATACTATATTATATATTTCAAAATAATCATCCATAATCTAAGTGCGGTTACACTTATTAGTTATTGAGGACTCATTTGCTGTTAATTTGAAATACTTAAAATCCCTACCAAATACTTTTCTCACATGTAATACTTAAATATATGTGTTGCTCCCACTGGCGCAATGCTAAGTCTGAAAGCTTGTGACGCTAAAAATCGGGTTTCGATAGCTGTGGTGGGTACAGTACAGATAGTCCATTGTTTAGTTTTATGCTAAACATATAAACATAAAAAACATTTGTTTGTGTGTGTGTGTGTATGTGCGTATATATATATATATAATATACCTAGTTTTTCAACCAAGATATTTTGTTTTCAAGACAATAGGATCATTCTCTGAGAACAATAACTGACTGGAGAAATAATATGAGATTTAAGGGGATCACACTAGAAATAAAAAAAACGAAGTAGATTTGATTTAGGATATGTTTCAAAGATGACTCAATAAGAATGGTGAGCAATAATGCATAAAAATATCAAAATGAATTATTTCTAAATGTGGACGAAAAACTGCAGAAACCTTCATAATGATTTAAAGTAATTGTTTGTTAAATAATTTTCCAAATAATGAATTGCCTCTTAGGGTATTTAAATAGAATAAAATTTAAAAGTTATAGTTTATCATTAAATACGGAAGTATTTAATAGTAGGGATCGTGCTGAAACAAAATGGTGGCCATAAAAATCGCCCGTTTAAAACCACTTCTAATATATCTGAAAATTCACAATGACTACTTCACAGTACTGGCTGAGCAAAACTAAAGCTTATTGTACTTATAAAGCCGCCTAAATTGCTATATATACGTGTTTATGGATTGAATCAAAATTTCACTATTTCAACGAATTTTCATCTAAATCAGTAAGTGACTTTTCCAGACAAGTGTACGAAAAAAAGAAGACGAAACTAATTACACTTGTTTTTTTCACAGAACTCCTACGTCTGGGGTCTCAATTAAACCTTTTTTTACCAAAAATGATACTAGAATATATATATAAAACGGACGATGCGCTACTTTGGGCATATAGATAGATTTGAGGGTAGGTTGGTAGAGGTTCTGATGAGTAATAAAATCGAATCTGGTGTAAGCGCGTTCTTCGACTCTTGGTATTGTTGGCGCACAAAAATATGGCTAATAAAAAGGAAACAAACAAGTATAATATATATATATATATATATATATTTTTAATTTTATAAAGTCAGGTAGGTATCGATATATACTTAAATTAGCTAGCTGTGGCAATATAGAAACTTTTAATGCTATAAAAAGTATTGAAACAAGAAAGTCAAAACTACAAACCTGTTG